AATATATTTATGTAGTGGTTATATGTTTGTAATGCATTGGGTATGTACTACACATCGGTATCCCTACATATGCACTTATTTTCATCTACATGCTAACATATTCACATAGGCATTTGTGTATTTTCATGTATGCATGAATGTTGGCATATGCATTTGTGCATTGCTTAACCATGTTTGCATGATATGTTGGTATGCAATGTAGTGCCTATTGCATTAGCATATCATATGGTGTATTTGTATTTTATGTATGTATAATACATTCGTACATTGCCTATTTGCATACATAATGCATTTGCATGATAATTCCGTGCTTTCATGTAGTGCATGAAATATTTGCATGTCGGTTTAGCGCGTTATCGCTACACGGTGCATTTTACATATTGGATGGTATACTTGCGTATCACATTTCATATGTTGCAATGTGTATATGCACTATGCATTTTGCATGCTAATGCAATGTGTTGCCACAACATGGTGTATTTTGTATTTTAAATGATGTGTTTGTATAGTGCAACCTGCAAACACACGCATATTATGAATGTGTCAGTGTGCATTTTAATGCATGAAGGGGTGTTTTTGCAATATTCAAATATGATTAATTGTGCAAGTGATCATCAGTTAGAAGATGCACGAGTTTTCTTGAGGGGCTTGTGAATGCCTTCTGTCTGCTTATATAAATATTGCAGATCTGATGACTTTGTTTAGCAACGTATTGAGTTTCGTTTGACGTGTATAGGTGGTGCAATTTATCTTATTTCATCTTTTTCATATTATTTTCTTCAGTATTTTGACCGTGGAAGTGTACTTCAGCCTGCAAATAAGCTCTGCGGTGTGTCGGGAGCTTTTTACCCGTCGCTTGCAAGTAAGCTGATTTATCTAATATGACAGCCTTGCGCCATAAATTCATTGCCTTAGTTTACCTGTGGTTTGTAGTTTTACTATAAATTTTTTTGCTTCTACTTACAAGTGAATCGTAGCATTGTGTTGTGGGTCATTTTACTGCTTTATGAAGCTAGGCTGTCATGCAAGCTTTGCTAACATTGTTTGTGATCCAGTGCTAGGCATTTAGGAGCAACCAGTTATTGCATGTTAGTGAATTGTGCTCAACACGACTCTCCAACATTTCCTGTAATGGGTCGTAGCTCTGTGTTACGGGTTGCTTCTTACAGGAGAGCTGTCGTGCTATGCGAGCTTTGTTAAATTTTGCGTGTAAGTCATCAGCGATCATTAAAAAATTGTCAACTTAGCTTGTAGTGTTTGCATTTACTACAACTCTTATGTATTTGCTCGAAGATAGAACGTTGTGTACATGCGAGTCTTCTACAGCGGCTTGTAGGTTCTTGCATTTGTTGCAGATTTATCCACCCTCATTCGTAGATAGTATGTTGCATTCATTGCATTTTCCCTGACTGCGCTTGTGGGAAATTATGAACTTGCTATTTTAACTCATAGGCAAGCTGCTGCACATATGATAAGCCTCCTACAGTGGCTCGTAGGTGCTTGTATTTATTAGACGCTAGTTTCTTTTGACAATCGATAGTATGTCGTGCTCACTGCAATCTTCTTGTTCATACTTGTAAGAGACTCATCACGTTGGTTGCATGCCACTTGTTATCACCTATAGAAGGGCTGTTGCACAATGTTGATTTCATTAATACCGTTTGCGGGCAAGTTCTATGTCTTGCTTATGAACGTGCCGTGGTGTTCATGCATCTATCCCTCATTGTTAGGAACTGATTTATTTGCTTACATGACTGATGTGAGTGTTATACATCAACTATTAACATTCTTAGGTGACTTTTGATACTTGCTAAGGGCTTTGTATATTTGCTTGCAATTAAATTATATGCCCCTTTGAATATCCAAGTTATGTTGAAGATCACAAATCCTTTTTTGCTTATTGATGTTCATTTGAAGAATCCAGACTGCTACTTAGCGTTTGCAGTTTTAGTGTGACTATGCATTTATTAATTTAATGTCAAGCTTCCTATTTATTAGTTTTGCAAGTTTAGTTCCCTGTGATTGTTAAAGTTATATTCATTTTTAATATATATTTCAGCAGCTTCCCAACATTTCTCCCGTTTAGAAAAATTTTGGGGAACTAGGCCTTCCCACCATGTTACGAAAATCATGTATGGTAGGTGTCGGGCGGCACCGCGGCCGTCATTTTTCAATTCCATCGCGTTATGAAAAGCGTGTATGCTTTTTCGAGGTATCTGCGTTGAAGCTTGATAATTTCTCCGCAGGCATATAAGCACATACATGAGTACTTAGAAGTGTCCCTGTCAGGCTAAGAAAAGCGTGAAGGTTCGCCCGCTAAGAAAAGCATGTACAAGGTTCACCCGCAAGCACCAAAAATGAGATTTGAATATTTTTGAGTTTAGGAATCATTATACTTTTGCAAGTGAAGCGGTGACGGTGTCGATGTTGATGATGACGAGGGATCAAACACAATTTCTCCTCTTTTTTTTTTTAATCCTCCTTTTTTTAAGAATAATACTTCTTCTGCTAATAATAAAATCAAGGAGAAAAAGCAGAGGCCAAGGGAATATTTTCTGTTTGTAGGGAGAAAGGGCTATGTAGGTAGAGAAGGCTGTTTGGAGAAGATGGGCTGCTTGGGTTGGATCAGGGTGTGATAGGGCTATTGGGCTGAGTTGGTAGAGGAGTAGGGGAAGTGTTCGGCTGAGTTGAAGTGTGATGGTGGAATTTAGTTGTGGTGGAAGACAGTTGTTGTTGGATTTGTAGTGGGTTATAGAAGAGGGAGTGGAGGTGGTTGTTAGAGAAATGCAGCTGGATGGTTTTGGGTTTGATAGGTGAGGGTGTAGGAGGAAGTGTAGAGAAATAGGTGTTTGATTTTGTGGGTTTCTGTTTGAATGGAGGGTGTGAGGGGAGCACGAGCAGGTTTCCTTCATTGAGGCGGAGATAATACAATTGTTGTTATGTGAATGGGAGTTTGCAGGTGAAGGAGTGTTATGATTTCTTACAGCTGCTATGCTCTTTGGAGGAGAATCAAACAGTGGAGGGAAGCTGCTGTGTAGTAGAGGAGAAGAGGTGCGGTCAGCTGCAGGCTTGGTGAGTGGTAGTAGTGGACTATTTGGGTGGTTGGAAGGGAGGAGTGAGAGGTGCTGCTGGGTTGAGAGCTTGGAGATGGTAGTGATGGTTGCTGTAGGCAGTGAGGTTTGGTTGATTAGAGTGGTAGTGGGCAAAGGGGATCTGCTGCTGGAGGTGCTCTTTGTGAGAAAATGGATAGTAGATGCTGAGGGCTATGCAGGAAGCAGAAGACCGAATGCTGGAACCCTTCTTGATTTCGCATGGAGAAAACCAAGAAGGCCTGCTCGTGTCCTAGTTTCACAAATTTGGAAGGATTGTCTGAGCTGGGATGGTCTGCTATGGGATTCGATAGAAAATAGCGTGCACAGAGCCAAAATAGAGAAGATCGGAGCCGTTGGAAGCATAATTTGATTTGGAAAGCTCAACTGAACTTATTTTGAATCAATTGGGCTGGATTTTGAGCTTGAATCAAACTCGGTTTCAGTTGATTTGAGTTTGAATTGACTCGAATGTGTTAATTTGAGAAAATTAGACTCGATTCAACGCCAATTTGAGTAAAATTGGGTTTGACGGGCCTCAAATGAGTTGATCAAGTTCAATTGGACTATATTGGGACCAATTCGACACGAAAAAGGCGTTAACAACAGGGTTGTAAGTCCAGAGGCCAGACAAATTTAGCCTTACGTGAGGTGTAATTTGTAATTCCCTTGCATTCCGTTAGACATAGATTTGAGGTATTGCCTGTCAGTAGCCCTCAGTTTAGATTTGTGATCTGAGACTAAGATTGATTCCAGTCGATTATAAGCCCTCACATTTCAAGCATTTTCTTCAACCTATGTTGTTAAAATATAAGCCCGAAGTTTTTAAATCACATTAGTCAATTTAAACAAAATCTAATTTTAAAATGTAAAGCCCAACTTAAGATTGAGCGCCTCTGAGTTTCTTTGAATCAAGTGCTCCTACATTTTCTGCATTTGGCTTCTATTCTTAAAATCTTCTTTAAAGTTGATCGCATCTCATTTGAAATTCTTAAAGACCAAATCTTTGAACAAGAATTTTTCAAATTTCAAAATAAAAATATTAGTCAATATTTTAATGGCTATAAAAACAATTAGTTTGATCAAAGGTATTCTCAAGTAATAAATGCTTGAGATGTAATTAACTATAAGGGCTTGCCCCAACCCCTATGAGACATCCATACATCAGAATAAAATAAACTCAATTCAACCAAATATTAAATAGGGGGAAATCTATGTTAAAACATAAAATTATTAGTTTTGTCATTGAGTCTATATCAAAATGATATTTTTATCCTTCGATATAATAAACTCAATTCAACCAATTAGTTTGGTTCCGTATGTTATCCATTAAAAGAGAAGCATAATACTAAGTTAAGTGTTGCAGAGATGAGGATGCTTAGGTGGATGAGTGGCTTGACCCTTAGAGATAGAATACGAAATGAGCATATACGTGAAAAGGTTGGTGTAGCTCCAGTGGAAGATAAGATTAGAGAGAGTCGCCTTAGATGGTTTGGTCACAATAAACGGAGGCCTTCCGATGACCCGGTTAGGACAGTTGAGGCATTAAATTTGACTTATGTTAAGAAAGGTAGAGGTAGACCTAAAAAGACTTGGTTAGAAAATATTAGAAATGATCTTTCTTTATTAGATTTAAATGAGAATTTGACTTTTAACCGGATACAATGGCGAAAAAAGGATTCATGTAGCCAACCCCACGTAGTTGGACAAAGGCTTGATGTTGTTGTTGTTGAGATAATATACTATTTTCTATGTCGTGCTCGATCACAAAATATCCTAATCCGTTGAGGATTAGTGACAAAATTTCACCAACATACGTTAAATTCCTTCTTTTAACCATTTTTTGCTCTTTATCTGATTCTGAACTTCCCTATCTTGCTTCTAATATCTAATGGCCCATTAAACCTGCAGGTTATATACAAAACTCTGCATCCGCAGTGGCATCAAACTCTGGAGTTTCCTGACACGGGTAGTCGCTTGGTTTTGCATGTGAAGGATCACAATGCTGTGCTGCCTGAAACGAATATTGGTGATTGTGCGGTAGAATATGAAATGTTGCCTCCAAATCAAGTAGCTGATAAGTGGATACCTTTGCAAGGAGTAAGAAGTGGTGAGATCCATGTCCGAGTAACAAGAAGAATTCCAGAAGTCCAGAATAAACAAAAAAATTCTGGTCGTGTTTCTTCCTTAAGCAAAGCGCACAAAATATCTGGAAAGGTGAGTTATTGTAGTTCAGTTACATTACCCTGATGCTTGCAATGCTACCTTTTAATTTGTCCTAGTAACTGGCGTCATAATTTGCATCTTTTGTTTTGGATTTTTTCTTAACATCCTCCAGCTCCACGCGGATCGCGCCTTCCGCCCGACCCGTCCGTCTCCGCCTCGCGTAGAATTGGACCGGTCCCTGTTGGACTGGTCCAACCGGCCCAGGATGGGCCGGTCTAACAAGCCACCAAGCTGCACTGGAATGCGCTATTTTATTTATTTTGTATATATACCATATATATACGAAATTAACTGTAAATAACTAGACGCCTACAAAATTGACTGTAAACAAATACACCAATTTCTTTTTTTAACTGCATTAGTTTCCTTTTTTTTTTTAACTGCATTAGTTTCCTCTTTGTCCATAAATTAGGTGAAATTCCATCACTACAGCAGCTTTTTTTTACTCCATTTTTTTTTTAGTTATATTTATTATCAGTTGGTAGTATTAGTTATCACCACTAAGCGACACAATCTGTATTACTGGCACTAGTAGCTAATGTTGATAACTACTCATATCGATATTATTAGTGCCACGAATATATATGTTTATGCACATGTAATATATGTGTATATGCCTACATATATATACACGTGTGTATATATATATATACATATATGCAAAAAAGGGGAAGAAAGTAAAAAGAAAAAGAAAAAGAAAAAGAAAAAGAAAAACAGAGGGAAAAAGAAAATATGACAAAGAAAAGAAGGGAAATGTTGTGTAATTTACCCATTTGTGCACATTTTACGTCGTCGTCAGCATCACGTCAAGCATGTATAATCCCTCAATTCAAAACCTCCAAAGTTCTATTTTCGGTTTTCGCGGCGCACCGAGGGATCCTTCATGCACGCTTTTCTTAGCGTGGTGGGAGGGAATTCGGTGCGGCAGTTACGCTGAGACAGGCGAGCCTCGTGCGTGCTAATCTTATAACGACAGGGCAAAATTTAAGTACCCGCATGTGTTTCAGTGCCGGCACGGAAAGAACTATGCGTTTTCAAACAAGTACCCCTGAAGACACATGCACGTCTTTCTTAACGTGGTGGGGTTGAAGAATACAGTCACAATATCGTCCGACATCGATCGTATATGTCTTTCTTAACATGGCAGACAGGCTAAGACTCATGTAGTTTCCCCTAAACAGGGGAGATGCCAAAAGACTGCAGAAACTAAGTTTGAAGACGGACATTACTTGAACAAAAGCAGGGGACCAAATTGAACAATTACAGGGGACTTGACATCGAACAAGCGAAGGCTAATTTAAATAGAAAATAAACTACAATGGACCTAATTTGAACATGAATAAACCACAATAGACTTGAATTCAAAATGAGCACGGTGGACATTGAACTTGAACCGAAAGACATTACATAGAACTTGAATCAAACATAACTACGAGGAATAAGACTTAAATTAACAAGTAATGAACCAAACACCAATTTGATAAATGCATAATAGAAATGTGAACACCAAATGCTAATTTAAAATATTCACATAAGCGTCAACGAGCAAACATGGAACTCATTACATACGAAAAACAACGTGTGTACAAGGAAATGCTATCTCCTACACATGATCATGAACATGAACATGACGCTTGCATAAGTACGTCAGTTTATTTGCATAAGGAAAAAGACTTGTGATAAGCACATAACCTCATTTACTGACAATGAAGGGAGACAAGACGATTACAATAAATACCAATGTGTTCATAAATAAGAACACCGAAGCACATACACAACTAATATCACTTAAGTATAAACAAATACACTAGACCCCCGCAAGTGATGACAATCAACAAGTATTAAGAGGTGGATGATGTGTAATATAGCTCAATCAACAGTAAATAATGACATGCAAATGAATGCATCGGTCTGCATGCAAATGACAAGAAGGGATATGCTGCTGGTATGATAAATCTCCTGTGCATATGGGTATTCGTGCGAGGTGTCATTTGCAAGAAAAGATGGAAATCTACAATGTGTTGGATATCTGTAAACAAATGTAGAAGATTTGTCATGCACACGGTAATCTACTTAAGAGTGACGACAATGAATAATGCGCATTAGACGTCAATTCACCTTTGAAGTTAATGATGAATGGTTATCAAGCAAGTACTATGATCCATTGCAAGCAAAGGAAGAAGACATGCAGGAAATGCAAGCTTCCATGAGCTGCTGCAAGGGGCCTGTCATACACACTATATGTCATCTATGAAGCGAATGTAGAAGGGTCATATACCCACAAACTGCTGTAGAAGGCCCATCGGGCACAAAATATGATACCCACAGACTTATGTAAAGGAGCTGTGGTAAATGCAAATGCATGTAAACAACTATAGAAGATAAGCTGCAGAAGGATTATGATAAGTGCAAGCTCCTACGAGCCGTTGTAGGTAGGGGTGTCAATTTTTAACCCGACCCGAAACCTGACCCGGACCCGACCCGGAAAAATTCGGGTTCGGGTCAACCCGTTTATGAAATGGGTCGGGTTCGGGTTGACCCGGGAACCCGAAAACGAACCGGAACTGATCTCTTCCCGGCTGCCTACGTCGACTGACCGGTTGCCCGATGCGTCAAGTCGCGTCCCTGACCGGCAGCCCGGTTGCCCGAAGGCTTCGCGGTTCGCGTGCCAGCGCTTCAGAGGCGCATAGCCCAGTTCGGCTTCGCCGCTCTAGTGTCAGCGCCTTGCGCCCGCTTGCAATTCGGCCGTTCGGGTTCAATCGAGAGTCGCGACGCATGCCGAGTGCCGACTGGTCGCTGACCGCGGTGCCGCCTAGTCTGCCGCTGTGCGCCTGCTGCCACCGCATCGCTGCGCCTGCTGACGCTGCTGGCTACCGCTTCCATTTTAAATAACTGGGTCGGGTCGTGTCAACCCGGTAACCCGTCGGGTCGGGTCCGTGTTGAGATAGCCGACCCGTTTACAAAAACGGGTCGGGTTCGGGTTGACCTGTTTAGAGCCAGGTCAACTCGGGTTCGACTCGAACTCGACCCGTCGACCTGAATTGACACCCCTAGTTGTAGGAGACCCAACATGAGTTCAACATATTGTCTATAAGCAAATATACGAAGAATGACAGTAAATGGGAGTGCCTACAAATACCAAATTTGTGACACTATGTTGTTACATCGAATAAGTAGCAGATTTGTGACACTAAGTTGTTACATCGAATAGATTAATTCACTTGCAGATGATAGGTAGAAAGTTCTTGATATGCCGTTTAGTGCATCTGCCGGTAGAAATACCATCCTGCAGGTTGAACGCTGACAAAGATGACAACATGTAGAAGATGAATGAGCTAAACTCCATTATCAATGCGCTGCAAATAAAATTCAATACGTTGCTATACCACGCCACCGGATCTGCAACACTCATACAAGCGGACAGAAAGTATCTACAAGTTTTCAAATAGAGCGTCGCGCATATTCAAATGACAGGTTCCTGCATAGCTGATCAACAATAAATATTTTAAAATACTCCCACACATACACTGCAATATGTATATACACAAATACAAGAAAATGTATGTGCAATCGTATACCCGCATGGGCCTCATCGAGCGTGTTATGGGTATACACGTGGTGTCCGAGGATACTGTGCAAGTCTAGAAATAAACTTAAATCCGTGCTTGATCATTCTATGTGAATGGATATGAGTCGACATGGCTCGAACCGTTAAATAAATATATGGTCACGGCATCGACCGAGACATTTCTTTTTTACGTTCATATGAAGCCTTCAAGGTCTATAACTAGGAAAATCCATTAATAAAAGCATACAGCCGATAATGAACTCTATCCTCTATCAGCAATTAGACAGAGTTGACAAGGTTCAACAGATAATTATGAAAATACCCCCTAAATACCTGCGTAGGCCTCGACGAGTGTGTTATGGATATACACGTGACATCTGAGGATGTTGTGTGGGTTAAGAAATAAACTTAAGTTCAAGCTTGATCCTCCTATTCAAGTGGATAGGAATTGACACGGTTCGAACTATCAAACAAATATATGATCACGATGTCGACTGAGATATTCATTTTAATATGTTAATATTATGCCTGCAAGGCCTATAACAAGAAAAGTTCACCTATAAAGGTATAAAACCTGCGACGAACTTGATCCTCCATTGGCAACTAACAGAGTCAACAAGTTCAACCAACAAAATACAATTGCTCATAATAGCCCGATGATCGCCATGTTGAATGTAGATCGCAACCGGAAGGGTTAACTCCAAATATTCATGAAGACTTCCCAAATGGTTGTGAATTTCAAAACTCCAAGAAAATATCAAATTCAAATATTTAAAATCGAAATTAATCATCAAATGCTTAAAGAAAAACTCATCCATCCTTCGCAACAATTTGTCGAGGTGGACAAATTTAAATATCACTTCAGCTCACATAGAACTAATGTTTGGTCGATAATATCACTAGGATTCATTTTCAAATAATCTCTTGCCGGCAAGAACATGGCATGTGTCCTCTAACTGGTAGTTTTGCCGCCAAAGGGCACCGCAGGTAAATGGTTATAAGTGGGGTCTTATGAACGGGCTGGTTTGTCGCCAAATAACACCACTAAATTATGGTCATGGTCAGAGCCCATAAGCTCCCTAATGGTACTAAATCCTTGAGATATGAATCAATAGGATATGATCGATAGGGCACAAAACCCACTGTCAGCTAAGATGGATTTAAATTTGTCCCCTTAGGCAAATAATATTCAACCCATGCTTGGACGATGCAACCCATGGTTGCCGACAAAGGATCCTTCTGTCAGGGTTGGTCGACTACCTCCTCTGACTAAGTTGACTAGGGACCATGATGACCCGGGATAACGGAACCATGGGATCTTGATCGGGTCCATCATCACTTCCCCACCATCCGCTTTAAGTGCAAGATGGTAAATTTCTAATTTTAAATATCAAACTCTCAAATATCAACCCATGCTGCTATTATACGTCAGATAACACGTATCTCCACATATTTGATTGAAGACTAGCCTTAATCGAAAGTTCTCTCTCATTATCAGGAGGGGTAATTAACTATAGTGGTTTGCGCCTATACGAAACCAGAACTCGGATCTAAAGTCCTTGCAAAATAAGGGCGAAAGCTCTGGGTAATGTCTTATCTATAAACCCAATTTATGAAAATTTACCCCAGAACCTAATTCTTTAAAACTCTCCCGAAAGAGAGGAGGCCGGAGTGCGAATTTTTGGAGCCTACATCATCTTTTTCTTCTCCTGGAATAATCTGTATTTTATTCATTATCGAGCATGTATGAATTTTGCCATTATAAATACACGTATCATTATGTTTTACTCGAAAATTATTTTCTAAAAGATTTTTGTTAATTGTAGAAGTTAGAGGTCCACTATAGATGTTAATAGAAGATGCATTGAATTCGTAGATGGTATTCAAAAGATTGTATATCCCTTGACGACGCTGTAACATTTGTATTCAAATCTGAGAGTCTATATCTAAAAAAACAGTTTTAAGCGCTTAGGTCCTAATTTTAATCTTTTTGGACTGTACGAGTACTAACAAAGTAGATTTTTCTGTTTTTGGAAAGAAGTTTTTGAAGTATATTTGCTCGTATGCCAATATAATATTTATCTCTCATCATCACTACTGCAGAATATATATATGATCCTCACATTATGAGAAGAAAATCTACCTTTCTGTTTTAAAGGAAACCATGATTACCAGATCTCTGAGCTAACTGAAGTTCTTTTTATCATTAAATAAAATGTAACAGATGAGGGAGATTTTGAAGAATTATCAAGGACTAGTAGCTGACGGGGAACTGGAAGGTTTATCGTCAGCTCTAAGTGAACTTGAGAGTGCAGAAGACGCAAAGGAAGATTATATTCTTTCCCTTGAAAGGGAGAAGACATTGCTGGTCAACAAAATAAACGATCTTGGCCATGAAATCTTGAGGTCGTCTTCATCTCCAAGTTCATTACCATACTGAAGCAGAATCAGTGATTTTTAGATAGTATTAATCATAGTTGGAAAGTAGTTTTAACTCTTTGATATAGTGAGAAGCAGTGTATATTCACAAGAAGAACAAAATTCAATTATTTTTTTCTTCCTTTCTTATTTTAGCTGTGAAATATGGTGATGTCTTAGAGATGAGAGAGTGAGACAGAACTCAGTTTAATTTTCTTTAATTTTAATTATAACTTCTTGTGAACAGAAAATAATGGGACTGCTAATTTCTTTCAGATATTATAACCCATCTTTATTTTTGCAAGATTTTAGTTGCAGTTATCAATTAATTGCTGATATCTCCTTCAGAAAACGCCGTTTTCCGTCCTATAATCTGCTGGAATAATTTTCGCCGGAAATTCATTTCCGACGACCAAATTACTGTTGAATTTTAATCCGCTGGAAATTTGCCGGTAATTAGCATTACCGGCGGATTGGCTAGATTTTTAGGTGATTATTTCTGCAAAATATAATTGAATTTCCTGTTGTATTAAGAAATTACTTAAAATTTGCATTTTATTTAATGATCAGAGTTCCATGAGTTCATTCAAAGAATATGAAGAGTAGCTTGGGAAGATAATGGAAATTATCAGATGTATAGTCTGTTGTTCTTACAACAATAGTAGTAGGACTATAAATAGGGCTAAAATAAGCAAAATAAGAGCTAACATTTTGGTATCTATAATCTCTGATAAGAAAGTTGTCCTAAATGAAATCTAAAACTCCTCTCAATTTTGAAAAAAAAAAAATTAACAATTTATTTATTTATTTATTCTTGGGAAAGTTAGAGGGCATATAGCCCAAATTTCATTGATAAAAAATAGTTACATGTGAGGAAAATAAAACTGGTAAGAAAAAAAAAAGAAAATCTTTCAAAACGGAAGAAAAAGCAAAATTACAGGATCAACAGAACAGGGAAAAAAAAAAGGTGGGGAGAATCAAAATTGGGCTCAGGGTATTGCCACGAGGAAATGGACACCCCTTGGTTGCAGAGGAAGAATAACGTAGAGATCATTTAAGGCACCCGACAGGAAAACCACTGTAGTCCAAGGGAGCTGAAAAATGTAATACCGACATAATAGCCCACAAAAACCACCAATCAAACGGCACCAAGAAGAGATCAATTGAGCATCGCAAAAGAGCCTTTAAGATCGTCAAAATGTTTCCATCTCCTAACTCTAGGAAGAATAGCTTGGCAAATAATGAAACATTTCCTAGAAGGATTGTTCCAAACATTATCAAATCTCCTATAATTCCTTTCTTTCCATAGAAAATAGATTGAGCTGCATATGACAAGATGGCAGAAATATTTTTCCCAACTAGAAAATTCATGAGAACCATCAATGAAGTCAAAAATTTTGCATCAGGTTCGTCCTGAGGAGGAAGGCATCCAAAAATGACAAAAGATTGGAAATAACATCAAACGAGAAATCATAGCTATAAAACAAGTGATAAAGATTTTCATTGCCCCCATCACAGAAAGAACAAGTTGTATAAACATCAATGCCCCTCATAAGAAGTAAGTCAGCTATTTTTAACCTGCCTAAAACTGCAATCCAGGCATAAGAGGAATACTGAAGAGAGTGTTGTTTATGCCAGATAAATCTATACCATCCGACCTCTTCAAAATGAAAAAAATAAGTGGAATAAAAGGTAAAGAAGGTAGGATTTTGTAAGCCATCCCAAGATATAGCTGGTAGCTCACAAATGATAATACCCGAGAGCCCAGAAAGTAGCAAATCTGGGACAGATGTAAGAAGGGCCCAAAGATTGTTGTTAATGTAGCAATTGACAAAAAATCGCTCAAACTTAAAGGAAGGTAAAATATCATGCAGTGACTTCTCGTTGCACCAGTGATTCCATTCCATCGAAAAGTTGCAGTTGGGAGATACATTCAAGGAAATTAACCTTTTAACCTTATGAGCCGTAGCACAGAAATTCTTCCAGAATTTAGAAGCATTAGAAGGGAGTGAGTTCTAAGGAGATAAATACTTTGCTTTAAACGAAGAGATAGCCAAGCTGTCTCTAGTGAAAAATCTCCACAAGAAAGAGCAGTAGCTGGCATGATAAAATACTTCAATAGAAGGTATATCGACTTCAAAAGAAGGTATCCCGAGACCGACCCCCCCCCCCCCCAAAGGAAAGGCAGTATTGACCCAAGAAATTAAATGTAATTTCTTATCAGCTATTCGACCATGGAATAAGAATCAAGAGCAAAGCTTCGAAATACTACTGCCATGCAATTCTACTGGTAATATTTGTTAAGCATAGCATTAAAGAGAGAGAGAGAGAATGCATTAAAAAGAGATTAATTAGAAAGCAAAGACTAGTATGAAATTACTTGATGTATTATCCTCATCTTTCTCCTTCCTTGGATGGCTATCATAACTTTTCTTCATTTTATTTTTTTATCCTTTTTATCCTTGTCTTATTCTTTCTTCCTTCCTTTCTTCTTCGCAATAGATAAGTCCATGCATCTTCTTTATAGTACTTGAGTAGTTAAAAGAGAAATTAAGGGGAGGTCTTCTAGTAACATAAAGGTGTCTAATTTTAGAAGAGAGGTTAGAAAGGAATAAGTATGTAGAGAGAGAGAGAGAGAGAGAGAGAGAGAGAGAGCACTTGAATAATTTTGTTAATGATTAAAATAACTTAATAGATTCTGCTATTGATAATAAATGTAATTATAAAATTTTAAATTAAAATAAACTCATATTATAGTTAATTGGAGGATGTTTCCCCCTATTATAAGAAAATCTATCATAAATATGCATACTTAGACCTTTCAAGAGTCATCTTTATAATCTATAATTTAACTCTTGCTTATGCATTCTTTCTTTTGGAATTTGATTATTTTCCTTACTTCTTGCTTATTTTACCACATATATGAAGAAGAAGAGAAGTGATCATGAAGCATGTATCTTATTTTCATGCATTATAGCTTGACACATAAAGGTGATATTATAATAGCCCTTATTTTCTTTAATGCAATTAATCAGCTTTGGATGTCAAATTGATCTTGTTGTAAATGAATGAACATTTGATGTATAAATAAAATAAAAGAAGACAGAAAGAGAATAGAAAAGAAAATCTTCCATTTTAAATCTTGGGCTATTAAAAATCCATAAAAAATAATTTTTGATATATGATAGAGATTGACAATTTTGTTGCTTTTGTAGAGTTGTTTATGGCTCTTCTTAGCATCTTCTTTTTAGTGATACTTTTTGGCAGATAATTGCTTGAGGAGGTCTATAATGTTAGTAAGGTATTACTTATTTTCCTTTTTTTTTCATTTCCTTAAAAAATTTCATTCCAAGATATATCATATTTGTATTTCATTCGGGTTACTATTAGATAATAGATGAAATATTAGTAAGACATTGTTTTTTCTCTAGTGATAACTTTATGTTCTTAGGTATTTGCTATTTTTAATTATGTGTTTATCATCCTTAATACTTTTATGAAATCCATCAACTCAATCAAAACACTTGAGCATCTAGAATGATTTTTTGCCCACAAAATGAGGAATCTCTCTCGCTCTCTCTCTTAACTCTTAAGAAATATGCATTCGAATCCACACTTCGTCTTCTTCTTCTTGTCTCCGATGACCTAATTGCTAGTAAGATAAATGAGCTTATAAAGCTTGAAGTACATTCCATTTGCTAATTTAGTTATAATATCCATTTCATTTATAAAGCTTGAAGTAAATTCGGCCGGAGAAGAGAGATCGACGGTTACCTTCGGTTAGGGAGTAGGTTGGTGGTCGGAGAAGAGCTATCGGCGGCCGGAGGTGATCTGTCGGCGGCCGGAGAAGACACGTCGGCGGCGGAGTCGATTCGGGGTTCAGGAGGGGTCGGAGGCGAGCTAGGGCAGAGCGACCGAGAGAGAGAAGAGGGAAAAAGTGAAAATGAAATGCGAGGCGCGGGTGTTCCTTTTAGGGCTTCTACCGGCGGTGTACCGGCGGTTTGTGCCGTCGGTAAAAATTTACTTATCAACGACGGCCAACACCGTCGGTAAACCGCCGGTCCATATTGTTGTCCGGCGGTTTAGCGACGGTTATATAACCGCCGTTAGTACCGGCGGCACAATGAGGGATAGGCACCGGTAAGCCGCCGTTAAACGCCGGCGGCTAAACCGCCGCCCAAACCGTCGGTAAAACCGGCGGCCTATAAACCGCCGGTTATGGCCGCCGGTAAGAGCTGTTTTTCCTGTAGTGAAATGAGTTTGACTAATTGAGCCTATCTCGAGTTTTATTTTTATACAACGAGCCGAGTTCGAGCTCGAGCTTGAGTTAGAGCTCAGCTCAATAATGCTACTATTCGACTCGACCCAACTCACTTAAACCCTAAGATACCACACAATATTTATTATCCTTAAATTATCGATGAACCAATCTTAAGAAATGTGAAAGATATCATAGTTCATAAAATCTAAATATTAAATCCAACCTAGTAAGTTGGGCCATCTCCATGGATGTAAGGTCCATTAAATAAATCAGATCATCATAATATGAATAATCTGAACAAAACAAATGTAAGTTTATTTTAGCATAAAGCCCAAAGCCCTATTTACTAAATAAAACTTTGTAGAGAACTTCAAGTCCTTAATCTAATTAAATTGGGATTTTTATGAATATGAATGCTTTTGAATTAAATTGGCTAAGCTAAGAAGTCCATCAACCAAATTAACTAGGCTAATATAATGTCATTAAGTCCACTAAATTAACATTTCATTTGGGACGGCTTTCTTACTGCTTTTTAAAGCAGCTTTTTATTACAAAAAATTAAAAATTTATACTAAAAAGTTGTTTAAAGAAGCAGTAAAAAAGTCGTCCCAAAGGAAGCTTAAATCTAATGGACTGACATAAAATACTATCAAATCAAGGGGTTGGCCGGAAATACTATGTTCATGAGTTAACTCAAATGAGTTTGTATCAACCCATTAACTTGTTAATTAATCAAATTAGCTTAATTAGCCTAATTGATGTCGAACAAAACCATAAAAATTATTTTGAAAATCTAAAAATGGCGGACGACTGGACGAGTTTAAAAAATAAAAAATAAACATGATTTGATAGTTTGAAATCAATTAAAGGTATCATGAAAGTTTTATATTTTTTGTCATGAGAGCATGTTTAAATTATTGAAATTATCTTATTAAATTTAATATTTTTGTGAGTTAATTTTGTTGTCCACAAATGACAAAATTTAGCCATGGGAATATCAATAGTCAATTCATATTTTCAAATGCTTCATTTCTTGCGCATCTTCAAAATGTTTTCAAGAGTCATAAAACTCATGCCAACTTTCATCATGATGGCTTTTCTAAGAGAGGAGAATTCAGCATAGTGTGGTGAAAAAAAAATTATGAATTTGTTTGGGATTGCTTTCTTAATGCTTCTTAAAGCAATTTTTTAGTAAAAAATTTTAATTTTTATACTAGAAAGCTTCTTTAAGAAGTCGTAAGAAAGCCGTCCCAAACAAAACTTAAGTTACCAATAAAAATGAAGATAATACAAGTTATCTTACATGCGGAAAATCAGACAAATAAAATTTACTCTTGATCTTGCAAGATATCTTGGATTAGACAATCAAATGTTACTAATTTGTCTCTTCGAACTTTATTCCAAGAAGGCCCTCGAACTTTGGTAGAATAGTTGATAAAGTCACTACGATGATAAATTACACACTACAGGAAAACACGCCGTTACCGGCGGACTGTATCCGCCGATAACATGTGAAATCCGACGGAAATCCTCAGTTTCCGACGCATTTCCGTCGGATTTGCCTCCGCCGGTTTGGCTCGCGTCGCTAAAAATTTACCGACGTTTATATGCCGCCGGTAACAATTCTAACGCTTTACCGGCGCAAAATATGACATGGAAGACATCGATTTTCATTCCATAATTCCGGCGACTAATGCGTCGGTAGTTTACGTCGTATGGATCCGACGGAAACTACCGGCGCATAAGTCGCCGGAATGTCGCCGTAAATAAGCTACGGCTTATTTCCGGCGCAAAAGTGGCGTCGGAATTTGCCGGTGGATAAAACGCCGGAATAGGCGCCGGTAATTTCCAGCGCACCCAAAGACGCCGGCATGCTCGATCCAGTTCGTTGTATCGTCGTTTCCGTCGACTTTTCGACGCATAATCCGCCGGAAACCTGTAGCTTAATCAAGTTATTCATCAAATCCACAAAAAATCAATTCCAATGATGATTTTTATGTCCTTAATTAAGATTGTTCATCTTTTATACAAAAAGAAAGTTAAATATAGGACTACAAAAAATCTTGGCCTCATAAATTTAAATAGATTGGCATCTAACTAACTACCATTTTGTGGTTTTTATAAACTTCTATTAAATATACTCAACTAAGCATTAGCCTTTGCTAAAATTTCTCTGAGTTTATCTGAATAATATAAGCCTTTTAGCTAGAAATCATCCAATTGTAATATTCATGTAATGTCTTTATGAGATTGCTGGAACCAAATTAACCTATATAATCAAGAAAACAAGATAATACTCAACACTAAGAATTTAGTATTTTCAATATCATTTATTGTTATCATAGTTAACAGTGTCCATTATTAATACAATTGTAAGAAGTTGCACCTCTAGATTATAATTTACCACTTGAACTAAGATTAATTACTATAATCAACATCATCATAAAGTTTCACCAAAATTTTCTTCTTACTAATATCCTTTTGGTTCAAATTTTAGGTTTTAAGTAAACATTAATTAACCATTTCTTTATAATTGAAAATTTGTGTAGTATATATGTTGTAGTGGCATTTTCAAAACCAATGCAAAATGCCTTTGTAATTAGTATTATGTGCTGCGAAAACTATCTTTTTAATTAGTGTGTAAATAGTCAAAATGATAATTTTTTCATTCAAATTATCTTGTGAAGTGGGAAGTAAACCAATTGTGCCCAACTTCGTAAGCAAAATCATTCTTTGTAAAACCTAATTTAGTAATCGAGTTTATTTAATTGATATGATATCTAAATAGAAGGTCCTTAAAGATCACTTGATTGAACGTATATGATAAATATAGAGAAAAAATCAATTTAATGTCTCATTTATTTAAATAATAATGATAAATTATAATTTTTATATTGTTTAAAAAAAATTCCTTCCATTAGTGAAGGCCTTAAAAATATTTTAAAGGAAACCTAACATTAAAAAATAAGGGAATTTTATAAAATTTTCCAAATAATTTAAAATTTCTCAAAATAATACTTTACTTTTAGATAACTCATATAAGTATTAGTTTGACCATTGAAGTGATGAAATTCCCTCAAAATCACAAGCTCTAAAAGGCATCTATTTAGAATATTGTTTCTAATAAAAAAAATGGTATCATACTTTGAAATTGATCATTATTGATTTTTTTTTATGAAGTTATAACTTTCGGACGATAAACTTCCAGTACTTGTGCACATCTTCACATTATCATCAATTTAATCATATCATACACTTAAAACAATTAGGAAATAAAAAAGAAAAGGGAATCGCAATGATAATCCTAAAAGTTAAATTTTATGTTGTTCGAATATTTATCCTCCTACATTCATAAGCATGCAAAATATCACTATGTTATGAAGGTTATAATTATAAATGATAACATCATTAAATTGTTGGAAGTTTGCATGGGAGAGCAACAAAAACTAATTATTATTTATATGATGCATAATCTATCATGAAATAGCTAGGTTTGCAATAGGATTAAAGAGTTTTTCCTAGGGATAAAGCTCCAAACACCTTTGACAAATTAAGGCACCTTTTTTTTTCACTTTTATGAATAAATATTAAAGTAACGTTAAACTACTATGCCTAAATCATTATTTTCAAAATAACTTATTTAAGAGACTACCTCATAATTATATAAATGTGTATGGATGGCACTATAAAGATCTAGACTTCGTTTGGGATGACTTTCTTGCTGCTTTCTAAAGCAGCTTTTTAGTACAAAAATTTATAATAAAAAAAAAAGTACTAAAAAGCTGATTTAGAAAGAAGCAAAAAAATCATCCCAAATGAAACCTTAGTCAATTAAACAAAATAAATATTTTATTTTCCATATATTAAGCTAAGTCAGCATGTTCATGTATTCATTATTATGATCAATAACAGGATTGAAATTTCAAGTGGGAGGGGTTGAAAGAATATACCTTAAATTTAGGGAGAACAAAACTTTGATAATATAGGTAATTCCAAGAGAATTTATGAGCAAAACTTCCATATTATAAGTAGATTATTTATATGATTTTTGTCAAATATAAGAGAGACAAAAACCACGTACAATACTCTTTTATAGTTCCACTAGTAATTGTGATGTTTATCTAATGCATATTATTTTCACATTTCTTACAAATTAAAGAGAAATTAATATTCCCATCACCATTGCGATGTATATCATCATGGGCGCCATCAATTTTAAACTATAGACAAAGAGTAGTGTTTCCATGACTAAGAGAATCTCCACATCCTAACCTTTTTCCTAACCAAGGATGAAGTGCATGTGTAGGATATTCTAAACTATATACCTTTTCATTGCCTTGTTTATCAGTTAAATTTTTCTTTATCACAATAGACTTGATGATGCGTTAGCCACTTTATCCACACCAACAGATTTGCATTGTCATTATCTTAGGCTTCATTTGAGATGGATTTTTTACTGCTTTTTGAAGCTGTTTTCTAGTACAAAATTTTAATTTTTATACTAATTAAAAAACTGTTTCAAGAAGTAATAAAAAAGCCGTCCAAACGAAACCTTAATTCCTAGTGAAATTTCTTTGCAGTTTGCCTTATCCTCTTGATCAAATCCATGATCACTATTACAAGGTCCATTCATATCTTCCACCTTGTGGACAAAGCCGTAGTTATCTCACAAGTAAAGTTGAGGAAGAAAGTTAAAGTTGTGCTTGTCTCCATCCCCACTTCATCCTTATGCTTTTGCTTTTTCCAACCAATCTTTCCCTTTCATTGTTCATCAGCAAATCAAGCAAATATCATCTTTTTACCTCAAAACATAGATTCCAAATCCTTAAAATACGACCCCCACATGCATGCATGTATTATTGTTGCTCTCTAGTTTCTCCAAGTCGATATCTTTATATTGAATTTACAGAGAATAGACTGCATATACCAGCCATTACACTTTATCTAGTCATCAAGCAATCTACAGAGAGAAAAAAAAAATAAAAGAGGAAATTATACAAGTCATTAGTGTACAGGGAAAAAAAGAGTGGAGTGATCTCTTTGGATTTTCCCATCCCATACTCTAACTTTACTCATCTTATCCTCACACCAATGCAGCTGTTCTTCTGTTATCTCTTGCACTCTTAGTACCCTGGACACAACTTTCATGTCTATAATGGCCATAAAAGTTTCCATCTCTTCCTCCTCCTTTGGCCTCCTTTTCTTAGAGTATTTTCGTCGCCTTCCTAACTCTTCCAGTCTAGCTTTCTTCTGATTGTTTAAAGTTAAAGGGAAGGAAAATCAATAACAAAATGAAGAAATGATAGTTAAGGAGTTTCATAGAAGAAATCTGACATACTTTCTTATTAATTTTCTTTAGCAAGCGAAGGTATGTCAGATCTACTGTGCTTTGTTTCCTCTTCATGAATGCTTTGAACCTCTCACATGGTGTCTTCTTATCTGCCTTGAGAAAATTCAAGAAGGTCTGGATTGCCTCTTCTAATATTGAAAGAAACTCAGCTGATGAAATTTTGCAGTCCATATCCTGATTCTCTTCGTCGCCTTCCGAGCCTTCATTAAAAGTTGATGAAGAATTTAAATCCATAATAAGCTAAACTAATAGATATGAAACTTGTAGAACTAGCAGAAATATATTTATTTACCAAAAAATTCAGGAACTTGAAGAAGCTTGGGAGATGACAATCTCATCCTCGCAAAGATTTCAGGCCTACTACCATATTCATATGGTTCATTTTCTATAAACCTCTGTAATAGAACTTGAAACTGCTGAAACCTCTGAGCTATTCGAGCTTGGCAGACAGAACCATCCATATCTAATTTATTTTCTTTTGATCTCCGGAATATATTATAGTTCCAGTTAAGAGCTTCCCATGCCAAGCAAACTTGAGCAACATAAGCACTCTCCAAGTCCTGGTATGGATCTCTCATTCTCATTGAATTACTTCTAGACTTTGCCATTAATTTTCCAGCAATTCTTTTTGATATTGATCTTGGTTGGCCGTTAATCAATCTAAACGATTCTGTAAATTAAATAGACAGTTTATAATAGTTCTCAAACTTTGGAAGTGAGGAAGAAAACTGTAATGACAGATCGATACCTGTTTCTGCGAGCTTTTGGGCACTGATTCTATCAAAGAAGAACATTTCCTCATCATATTTTTTAAACAGGGTGTAGAACTCCCAGTTGGAAGAGCTCCTTCTAGATGATGAAGAGAATGGATATTCTGTCTCAGAGTCGCGAAAAATTGTAGAGCTTCTCCATTCAATAGAGCTTTTCGAAGTCGATTCACCAGTGAGCGAACCGCCGATGGTTTCTCTCTCTCGATGAACTTGTTCAAGCTTGAAACTTGAATTTTCAGCAGCTAAAAGCTTTTCATCCTCGTTTATTTCTTCCTTCTTCACTTCACTGTTCTTTTTTTTCTCAACAATGTAATATTTTTCTTCATTCAAATTCTCTTCGTTTTGAAAATCATTATTGACAGTAGATACCAGGCAATCCGAAGAGCCAGGCTGGTTTGTTTCAGCAATGGCACTGTAGTTACGAGCGGGGTCATCGAGTGAAATATTTTGTAGAGGGGAACCATATTCTGATTCATGAACAAAGGCGTCATCTTCTCCTAGGAGAATCTGGTCTTTGGAATCTGTCTCTTGATCGACAAGAATGGTATCCTTCTCACAACTTCTACCGTAAAGGAAAAGCAAAGCGTCCCCTCCAAGAATGATATCAGCGATGATGTCTTGTTTCCGGTAGAGTTCGTCGGAGACGGTGGCTGTGGACGAGACGAACTTGTTTTCATGAAGAGGAATGCAGAACTTCTCATCCCTGAACAAAAAGATCAGAACTTTAATAATATATATATGCTGCCAAAGTCGTAGAAAGAGAGGAAAAGGAGAGAGACTGTGTGTACTGACCGCTTGGAGATTGCTCGGTGGTGGAGGAAGGAAAAGAGCTTGGTCAGCAGGAAGGAGAGGAGGTGCAGAACGAGGAAGAAGAGGCTAAGGTAGGAGAAGGAAGGGAAGAGGAACATCAGAGCAGGGTGATTGCCATGGGAAGGAGGATGGAGGAATGGGGTGGAGGGGGGAGAGGTTAAGGGGAAAGAGAGAGTGGTATTATGCATTTATTGTTAGGGAAGATAATGGCTATTGGGACTCGGCTTTGCTTTTAATCGAGTTTGGGACGAAGAAGGGCGACCTTTCTTTAGGAGGAAGCGAAGAAGACGGTCTTCAAATGGCCTGAGATTAGTGAGGGGATTGGAATCATGAGTGGGACCCGTTTGTTAGTTGTTAGATTTTGTGGTTGCTTCTCGCACGAGCGATTTGGGTTTTTTAATATTTAATTCAAATATCAGCATAATTTTAAATGGGGAAAGAGTTTATTTTAAAATATTTTTATAAAAAAATAATTATGATAAGTTTTAAATTCTATATATCTATACTACTATATAAAAGCTATATATCTACTTTAAGATCAATATATAATATAACTAATTTATATTGTGTTCATTGCATACAAAGCAATAACAACAATATATAGTCTTTGTTGCAGGCTTGAATATATATGGCGATAGAGTTCGAAAATTTTCGTCTCAGTATTGTACGGGCATCAAGCATACAAACAGAAGACAAATGTAACACAAAAATTTTTACGTGGAAACTCTGGAAAAGGGAAAAACCATGGGTCCATACCCAATTAAAATGATTATACTACTGTTTGCTTAGATTACAAGTGGTTGACTCATCCCTGAAATTGAGGACTATTAGATTACAATAATCAACTCTCGGGTTGAAATTCAGTTACAAACGGAGATCGGGAATTCGACAACGTTTGGTGTTCGGGTGAAAATCTGTCTTCTACTAACAGTCGGGCAGAATTCCGGCGTCAGTTGGCTATCGGGCAGAACTCCGGCATCAATTGACTGTCCGGCAGAACTCTGACATCAGTTGGCAGTCAGGCAGAACTTAGGAGTCGGTCAGCTGTCGGGTGGAAGTCCAACGGTAGTCGAGGAAGAGTCTAGTGGCAAGAGAGCTCTCTTCCTTCTCATCATTTTCTTCCTTCTCTTCTTGCTTCCTTGCTTCATTCTCTTCTCTTTTTTGTTTCGTTCCGCTCTCATGAGAAATGATAGGTCTATTTATAGTTTTCTAAGAGTGGCCAGTAAATAGGAGGAAAATCAAGGGTGATTTGGGAGTGGTTTGAATGAACAGCCGATGTTGAATCCCTTGATCGTGAACTATTTATTCGACATTTGAATGTCTTAGCGATATCAGAATTTGACTATCTTTATCTTGATGGATTCGTTTCATTGAGACACTCAATTCAACTATAAGCATGCTACATTTAGAAATTGTTTGATAATCCAAATTATGGATTTAACCTTCCAAATGTGCTTCAGGTCTTTGATTTGGACCTATTTGAGCTCTGATTGGGTTGAATTTGGTGTCGTTAGGTTCTTTTTTTTTTTGAGACCTTCAGTTCATCTGTAAGTTTGCTAAAATCAAAGTTCACATGGTTTCCGATTTAATTTTTGAAGTTTCCAACTTGATTTTGCTTGAAGTTCCGTGCCCGATCAAGAAAATTCTTTGATGATACATCAGTCTTTATCCCATAAAATGGGGTGCTAAATAAATCTTTTTTTTAATTGTGTTCGATTAAGAGTCAAATTATTATTTAAATCTAATAAGAAAATATATTTGTAATATTTTCTAACCAAGTTATTTTAGGTATATTTGTGTCTTTCTTAACATAGATCAGATGTAAGATATCTACTCTTCTAACCAGGTCATCATAAGGTCGATGCTTTATGTGTCCAAATCATCTAAGTTAACTCTCTCAAATCATATATGCCATTAAAGTGTTATAACCTGAATTTCTGAAATAATTTTTTTAAATGAACAATTTGAATTTCAAAGCCATGTCATACTGAAGAAGGAAGATAAGGAAGAGAACGAAATATGAGAGAGAGAAAAAGAGAAAAATATGATTTTAGCCCATCATATCACTTCACCATTTTTTTTGGAACTTACACAGATTGTGGTAGGCAACTCTTGCAACATCAGTTTTGCTCATATCGTCCGGGCCTATCGTGGATCGTCCCGGGACGATCAGTTCAAATTTTGTTCCAGAATCTGTACAGAAGTTACAGGAAAGTTTTCCTGTAAGGATCGTCCGGGCCGATAGGGGATCGTCCCGGGACGATCAGAGCAATGCAAAAGTCAGAGAATAGGGGTTTTTATCGTCCAAGAAAATTAATTATTGTCCTGGGATGATTTCTCAGGACGATAATTAATTTTCTTCGACGATAAAAACCCCTATTCTCTGACTTTTGCATTGCTCTGATCGTCCCGGGATGATCCCCTATCGGCCCAGACGATCCTTACAGGAAAACTTTCCTGTAACTTCTGTATAGATTCTCGAACAAAATATGAACTGATCGTCCCGGGACGTCTAGTCCAAGACCTCCTTCCCTTTCCTAGAACCTGAAAATCACACAGAAAATAAGGATGAGCTACAACAGCTCAGCAAGACATCAAACCTCCAATCAAAATCCTCAGAATCCACATCAAACACATCAGACAAAATCCGTACATAAATCAGATAAACAGAATCATATATCGAATCAGAACAGATCAAATCAGAACAGATCAAATCAGAACAGATCAAATCAGAACATATCAAATCAAAACATATCAAATTAGAATATATCAAATAAGAACATATCAAATCAGAACATATCAAATCAGAACATATCAAAAGTTAAAACAATTCTCTGATCCTGACAGAATCTCTATGGATTCTAGCCCCTTATGCCTCCCTTCCCAGTCACTGACAGAATCTCTCGGATTCTGGCCCCTTATGCCTCCCTTTGTGCTCATGGTACCAGAACAGATGTGCTTATAGCACCAGAACAGAACTTATCATTAGATCCAGAAAAAAACTTATTTTCAGATTTCAGAGCTCATTTCAGATTTTTCCTGACACAGACAAGATCTCACAGGATCCTGACCCCTTATAACTCCCTTTTCATAGCACACAATCATATCATGTCAATTCAGAACAAATCCGAACAATTTCAGAAATCGTATGAAAATCCAGCGGCATAACGGCAGTATACAAAATTTACACAAAATTTCTTAACAATAAAAAATTACCAAATTATCACAAAATGTTCACAACAACATTGCAAGATATTTATTCTATTGCCACAATATGTTCAGACTTCGTGAAAATTTACAGTCAACAGAAAACACCGCCAAATCAAAACTATCCGGTCAAAAATCTCCAGCAAATAATCAAAACGTGCACACTCGGCACTTCAATAACATATCAAAAGTTACGCGATAAAAACCGAGCCAGTCGAAAAATACTGACAAAATTCGCTAACAAAAACGATATCCGGACAGAAAATCCCGTTAAACTCAACGGTTCTGAAAATTGAGAAAGACGGAATGTGCCTTACCTTGCGTACACCAATTTCTTGAACAGTCTCGACGGACGAAAACGGCCCGGCGTTGCCCAAAACTCAACTTTTCCTCTTTTGCCCTCGACCTTCTCTCTCCTCAAAGAAAGTGTCTGCTGATGAGGTTGAGATTCAGGAGAATCTGAGATATAAAGAAGAACCCGAGTTGATTCTAGCTTACGATGTTCGTAAGTTGAGAAGTAAACAGATTCTGAAGGTTAAGGTGCAGTGGAAACACCAAACTACACGAGAAGCGACTTGGGAGAAGGAGTCGGAGATGAGGAAGTTGTATCCGTATTTGTTTTGACTGAGTTTTTATTGGAAAATATCGAGGACGACATTTTTTTTTGAAGTTGGAGAGATTGTAACATCAGTTTTTCTCATATCGTCCGGGCCGATCGTGGATCGTCCCGGGACGATCAGTTCAAATTTTGTTTCAGAATATGTACAAAAGTTACAGGAAAGTTTTCCTGTAAGGATCGTCCGGGCCGATAGGGGATCGTCCCGGGACTATCAGAGCAATATAAAAGTCAGAGAATAGGGGTTTTTACCGTCCAAGAAAATTAATTATCGTCATGAGAAATCGTCCTAGGACGATGCAATTTTGTTCAGATCGTCCAGGACGATCGTGCAATCAGCCGGGCCGATCAGAAGGTTATTTAATGAAAATCAGCTCATTTTAAAGAGAGAGAAAATCAAAAATAAAATATCTGATTTTTTAGGAGAGAGAAAGTCGAGGGCAAAAGAGGTAAAGTGGATTTTTGGGCAACGCCGGGCCGTTTTCGTCCGTCGAGATTGTTCAAGAAATTGGTGTACACAAGGTAAAGCACACTCCGCCTTTCTCAATTTTCAGAACCGTCGAGTTTGACGAGATTTTATGTCTGGATTTCATTTTCGTTAATGAATTTTGTCCGTATTTTCCGACTGGTTCAGTTTTTACCGCGTAACTTTTGGTATGTTTTTGAAGTGCCGAGTGTGCACGTTTTGATTATTTCCTGTAGATTTTTGACCAGATAGTTTTGATTTGACGGTGTTTTCTGATGACTGTAAATTTTCACGATGTCTGAAAATGTTGTGGCAGTAGAATAAATTTCTTGCAATATTGTTGTGAACATTCTGTGATAATTTGGTAATTTTTTATTGTTAGGAAATTTTGTGTAAATTCTGTATACTATCGTTATGCCGCTAGATTTTCGTATGATTTCTGAAATTGTTCGGATTTGTTCTGAATTGACATGATATGATTGTGTGCTATGAAAAGGGAGTTATAAGAGGTCAGGATCCTGTGAGATCATGTCTGTGTTAGGAAAAATCTGAAATGAGCTCTGAAATTTGAAAACAAGTTCTGTTCCAGATTCGATGATAAGTTTTGTTCTTGTGCTATAAGCACATCTGTTCTGGTGCCATGAGCACAAAGAGAGGCATAAGGGGCCAGAATCCGAGAGATCCTGTCAGTGTCTGGGAAGGGAGGCATAAGGGGCCAGAATCCGTAGAGATTCTGTCAGGATCAGGGAATCTGTTCTGACTTTTGATATATTCTGATTTGATATGTTTTGATTTGATATGTTCTGATTTGATATGTTCTGATTTGATATGTTCTAATTTTATATGTTCTGATTTGATCTGTTCTGATTTGATCTGTTCTGATTCGATATATGATTATGTTGATCTGATTTCTATACGGATTTTGTCTGATGTGTTTGATGTGGATTCTAAGGATTTTGATTGGAGGTTTGATGTCTTGCTGAGCTGTTGTAGCTCATCC